CTTCCTAAAACCTCGCTACCACTAACCTATTCTCCATTCCATAGTTTTGTCATTTCAAGAATATTATATATTTGGAGTCGTATAGTATGTAACCTTTTGGGGTTGGCTTTATTTACTCTGTATAATCCCCTTGAGATAAATTGAGAGCTTTTAAAAAGTGACTTGCAAAGAAAGTCTAACATCTTTCCACTGGCCACTTGCGCTTGCCTTTTAGCAAAAAAAGGCAGGAATGAGCACTACAAAGGCAAAAAAGTTCTTCATTTGAATGTTGGGAATTCCTTCCCTCCTTCCTTCTTTTTAAGATTTTATTTATTTGATAGAACATACAAGGGGAGGGCAGAATTCCTCTTCTGATCAACCTGTTGATCTCTTGGTAGAAAACAGTCATTTTTCTTTTACAGGGCATGGTCTATCTCCATACTTGTCTGTTTCATTTCCAAAGACCACTCCAGTTCATCTTCCACTTTCCCTGTTTACTTCCTCTTTTTTCAGCCTGATGAGTTGAAAACAAATTGTTGTATGAATTAAGTTCTAGAGATTTCTCGAGATTGTTATAACCTGACAAATAGAGATAACAATTTGACCGAAAACTTCTTTTTTTTAACTGAAATACATGCATAGGAGAGTTCTTGTCATTTCCATTGGCCTTACAGGAAATGATTAAGGTTGCTACCTCACTAAAAGTCTTGTTTGGAATTTTTTTGCCTCAGAAGTAACTATGACATGTATCATTCGTTTGGATAATCTGAATACCATCCCTTGGAAATTTTATTACATAATAGGAGCTCCATCTCATATCAAGTGATTTGGAGTCTTGATTAACAGTTTTATTTTTAGACAAGTATGTACATGTAGTGTATCACATTTTAAGCTGTAAATAAGAGTTGTTTTTAATCCATTGTCAGTGTGTCAAGAATTCTAGGACCCCACAAGCAAAAGTTCTTTTAAGGTATTTTATTGACTTAGCATGGCTTCAAAGAAGTAAAAAAATATTTCATTAATAAATATTTAAATAAATGGAACATAATCTTTTAAGGGAAACTAGCTCACATTTATAGGAATTGCCGTACATTTACTGAGAGGAACTATAATTGACATTATTTATCTGAATAAGCTTGAGAAAGTTCTTACAATTATATGGGAGTAATTAAGTACTGACCACCCTGTGTATCCAGATGTTTATCTGGTGATTGGTTTCAAGATTTTTTTCTAAAGAAAGCATGGAAATTTAGTGTTTTCCTCCTTTGGTGTTACAGCCCTAAGATACACTTGCCTGTGTACTGGGGCAGATGTATACTTCTAGTCTCGGAGCAAGGTTGTCACCCAGACATAAACATAGGAACAAGTCCAGACTCATCCAGTAATCTGCCATATCAATAATCCTGTCTTTAGCTTCATTTAAAAATTAGGAACAATCAGAATTAATTTTGCTTTTGAAAATGCCTTACTAAATTATAGTGTTTTATATAAACATGTTACTGACAATGAAGATCCAGAGCCTAACAAATTAAGCACTGAGGTGTTTACATGTTGAAACTATCCCTATGTCCATAGAACTACCAAAAAATGATTATTAACCATTCCCATTCTTTTTTCTTTTTTTAAAGATTTATTTTATTTATTATTTTAAGAGCTGGAGTTGGGAGAGGGAGAGAGAATCTCAAGCAGAGTCCCTTCTGAGCATGGAGCCTGATGCTGGGCTCCATCTCACCACCCCTGAATTCACAACCTGAGCTGAAATCAAGAGTCAGACCCTTAACCGACTGAGCCACCCAGGTGCCCCTCCCATTCCCATTCCACATAACACAGCATTTGATAAAATGCCCAGAATGCTGAAACCTTCATTTGAATCTTAGTGCTGACCTTTCCAGTCTACATTTCCACTTGCTTATTGAAACTAAAGAAACTAAAATATTAGTCAACAAATATTGAACACCTACTATATATCACCCATTGTACTAGGCAGCAGAAGTGTTTCAGGCAATGTGTGACTTCACTCAGCAATTTAAGTTTGTGTGTTTATAGCTGTTATTTTCAATTTGGGACATAAACTTCCTTCCTGAAGTTTAACTTTAACTGTTATTGTCAGTTTTAGATTGTTTTAAATGTAATATTTGATGATTTCTTAGATTTATGTATTTATAGACTTAGAGTTTTCATATTTTCTTTTTTCCCTACCCAAAGGGATAATTAAGTTCTCAGTAGATTTTGAAATCTTACCTTGCATCTTGTTTTGAATTTGTAGCCCAGAGCCTCTACCATGAGTTAGAAACTTTAATGTTTTCTGGGGCCAGGCAGGTATCATAAGTGTATGAAGCAGGTCAGTATGAATAAGTAGGGCTCAGTAGGGTCTGTGTCAAACTAAAACGTTTATGTCCCCCTGTAAACATTAAAAAAAAAATGTTTTTAAATCTGTCAAACACAGCTAGAGGTCCAAAGTTTCCAACATTCTGAAAATCTAGATGCACATAAATTCTTTAGACCATTGATTTTGAAACACAAAAACGAAATAATCAGTTTACTGGTAACAGTGATATATATTAGTTTTAAAATAAATGCTGGGAATTTTGCTGTATGAACCATTTATGGTGTGGGTGATGTGTATTATTTAGTTTAATATATTGTGGACACCTTTCCATGTCACATCATGTAGATCTATACCTCACGTTGTTTAACAACTGCAGATTTCCATAGTAAGGATATACCATCAGCTATTTTTCCATTTCCATATCTATGGATAATAGGGAAAGTCTGAAGTATGCTTTGGCGTTGTCTTTGCAGATTCTAAGAATTAAGTCCTTTTTCCTCCCCTTTTTCTTTGTTACTTTTAAACATTATAATTTGAATAAAAGCCCAATAGAAATTAGTTTTAAACTTAAAAGATGATTCTGAGAAAAAGTAGATTTATATCATTTACATAACTCTTAGGAAGCTTGAATTTATTTTTTTTTCTTGTTAAACACATGGCTGAACCATTATGAGGGGCATAATTTCTTGGACATTAATGGCTGAAGGACCCTTATATAGTAGTGTGATTCCATTAAAAGATTCCATATAAATTCAAAGTATATAGTATATATCAATATCACATATAAAGAGACAGCTATAAATAGTGTATCTCTTGAGAACTGAAATTCATATTATAGAGATCCTGCGTTCCTTGCTTTAAGAATCACTCATTACTTGTTGGTTTTACAAAATAAATAAGTGGTGCTTTCTTAAAATTTAATCATTCTTATAAACTTACTTGAATTTTGTTCAGATGGAACTTAAAAAGTTTCTGGATTGTATTACTGTATTACTGATTGTATTACTTCCTGTATTACGCTCTTTGGTCTAATTTCAAATTTCATTCTGGTTTAAAAAGGCAGCAAGAAGGGGCACCTGGGTGGCTCAGTGGGTTAAAGCCTCTGCCTTCGGCTCAGGTCATGGTCCTAGTGTCCTGGGATCGAGCCCCACATCGGGCTCTGTGCTCTGCAGGGAGTCTGCTTCCACCTCTCTCTATCTGTCTGCTTCTCTGCCTACTTGTGTTCTCTGTCTGTCAAATAAATAAATAAAATCTTAGGAAAAAAAAAAAAGGCAGCAAGAAGTTCTTAACTGGACATATAGAAAGAGCTTTTCACCTGGAATATAGATTGCTTTTTCTGTTATCTTCTAAAAAACTTTTCATGGAAATAAAATGCATATACAGTTAGAGTATAATTTCTAGTATAGAGTCTAGTTCTCCTCCATCTAATATGGGATCCAGTCACATCCCAGTAAATGAGGAATTGTTTGTGCTTAGCACTTTTCTAGAGAGATATTTTATAACTTTCAGTACATTTGAGGCACTGGGAATGGCATTGGCCATGTTGGTGGTAGATAGTAAATCTACCTGGCCTCTAAATGAGTCTGGCCTCTAAATGAGTCTGTGGTAGGCACCAATTTATTCATTGTAGACTTGGCCATCTTAAAGATCTTCTGGAATTTTTTTAGAAGGAAAAAGTATTGGTAACTGAAGAAGAGAGCTTGGCTAACCTGGGACCAGGCACAATTCAAACCGGTACAATGACATTCTCTCTTCTTTATATATAAAGAAACTGGGCTAGTCCCAGGACTCAGCTCTGGACTAGACCCAACTTTTGGGGAAGCCTTACTTCCTCTCTTAACAGAGGCCCAGAAGTATAGAAAATCCCACTGGCATTCCTGTAACTAGGGAAATGAGTGATGTCATGGTTTTTAAAAATAACATCAAGTTAATTATGGATAGAGAAAAAAATTTAAAAATGAACATTTAAAAATGTTTTACAAAAGGTATAAACAAACATATTTACTTGGAAGTGTAAATTCACTGGACCACAAAAATTTTAATTCCATTATTTACCTTCGGTTATTCACTGAGGATGAATCTCTGTCCTTTGTCACTCATAGCTTCTCCTCTGCCCTCCCACAATAAATGATGGGCATTTGAGTTTAACATATTATTGATTCCTCCTTTAACCATTGTAAAGTTCTTTACTGTTTCTGGTTAATTTGTTTACATTTAAATAATTTTTGTAGGATAAAAAGTTATATTAATTCATTGTTTCCCCTTTATTTTTTCTAAGTAGATTATCAACTAAATTTTTCTTCTGTTTAGTGATGTGACCTGCAGTGTCACCACTTTTGTTAGTTTTTCAGTGGAAAATATGTATGCTAAAGTAACAGTGATAACCTACAAAAGCCCAACTCTGAACATTGTTGGAGTAGTTAAAATATAAAAGCATAATGAATTTTGGTTTTCTTTTATTTATTATGACAAACATATCTTCCCCCCCATATATTTAAACAATGGAAATGAAATCATATGCCAAATTGTGATTCTTTTTAAAAAAAAGTCTTTACAGAATTTAAATAGATAAAACCAGCAAATAGCATTAGTAATAGTTCAGAATGTGATTGAAATGAAAAACCCAGGAGTCATTTTTATTTACTTTCAAAATTTCAAGATTTGTATTAAAAGAATCCTTGTCTTCTTTCAGATAAATTTGCGCCTCATCTTGGTAAGCGGGAAAACAAAAGAGTTCCTGTTTTCTCCTAATGATTCTGCTTCTGACATTGCAAAGCATGTGTATGACAATTGGCCAATGGGTGAGTGGTGTTTTTCTCTTGAGAATGAATAATGTTAATTCTTTATGCCCTACCTTGTTTCACAAACATTTTGAAAAAGTTATGAAGATTTTTAAAAAACCAAATAATTGAGAGATTAGTCTTGGGAGTTAAAGGGGAAGGAACACTGTTATCTGTCACTTTGTTCTTCAGTTACTTCATTGCAAAATGGGGAAGGAGCCAGTATGCAAAATCTCTTTGTGCCTTAGAACCATTTTAATGTGAATGAAAATTGTTTTTAAAAAGAAAAACACAAAGTAGCTAACAGATGCACATAACTTTCATATCAGGAAATCTGTTTATACCAAAACACAAAGTAAAAGATAATAAAAACTATTTTTAACAAGTTAAAATATTTTCTCATTGGTCTATCCTATCTATAACCTATTTAAAATTGAGTTTGACATAAAGTTAATTTCTAATTCATGTCACTTCGTGTGTCCTCTGAACGACAAGGGCAAGAAGGTATAAAATCCATTTATGCATTGCATTTTCAAGTCAGTATCCACGACGAACAAAATTTGAGGGAGTCAGGGAATGGTATTCTTCCTTTCTCTGATTCTTTTCCATATGATAAGACTTTGCCTTGCCATCCTACAGTGAATCTTTAGCTTGTTTTTTTCCTTTGAACTTTCCCTAAGTCAGCTTGGTCCTTTTTAGGGCATGTATTATAGTGATATCAATGTTTCAGCTAATTTAACTTAATTTTACTGGCCAAAGCAGTTTGGACTTTTAAGGGACAAGACTCATTTCAACAAAGAACACAGTGTATTCAAAATGAATCAATCAGATCAGTGTTTCTCAACCTTAAATAATATATGGAACTCCTTTAGAAGAAAAAAATTCCTATAGATTCCCTAGTGCTTACTTAAATTATTTTTATTACAATTTTTTTTAAAGATAGAAACATAAAACCCGTTTAAGATGCTTTATCCTTATTAACGCATTCACAACCATAAGACTAAAACAGATCTAAAAAGAAAATGCAAATATAATTCTAAAACCAATAATGTTCAAAGTAACAATATTAATGATACATTTTTGCTAAAACCAACTCACTGCTTGTGCAGTGAATATAGATAGTACTGTTGAGTTTGGCATGCCTCTGCTCCTGCTTGCTATACGAGGACCCAGTTATCTGTAGATTCACCACAAAACCTTCATTTACAATGTGCCCGATTGTCATTTAGCCTTCACTTAGCAAGAATGCATTGTTTATGTATTTAGTCAACCTCTGTTCTTTTCTTACTAGCCTCTCAACAATTAAAGAAGAGCTCCATAAACTGCGTATCTGAGCAATAAATCCCAAGACTGTAGTTGGTTATAAGGTGATTATTTGAATTATCTAGATAATCTCTTCCAGATTATCATTAAAATGAAAACATGGTTTAAAACTTCTTGAGGAGGACTTTCAGAACCATGCCTCTGTTGTTCTTGAACTCAGGATTCATAGACATACATTTAAGAAACACTGATTTGGACAAATACTTTCAATTTACCGGATCTTTCTTCCCTTGACAATTAAGGGACTAGTCAATGTTAGTTCCTAAATCAGGTTAGAGGTAAGAAAGGAATTCAGAAAAGCTGAAGTAGACTAAACTTGGGGCTCTCAGGATATGGGAATTTACTCATAGCCATGCACAACAGTAACTAGGAAAAGCATTTTTAAATACTTGTCTAATAGTGATGTTATACTAAATGTGATGTAGAAGATTACTTTTGTGATATGGGGAGGAGAGGGTAAAGATCAGTTTTGACATCTATGGTATTGTAGAAAAGATTACACAAGACATAAAAGAGCAGTTCCTCTAAAAAATTTATGTTTAGGGAGCAGCATTATAACTTGTGGTTAAAAAAAAAAAAAGTACTTTTACCTTCATAATTGTTTGACTTAGATATTAGAATTACTTTTAATTCCTTAAGAATCCTGATTAATCGTAACCAAAGGCAGGACTCAAATGCAGGTGTTTGTCATAAATAGTGTCCTAAATCAGTGAGCCAGCCAACTACCAGCATTGGAAATTGATTGTATCAATCCCACCTTACTTAGTTTCACACACAAATTTTTGAGCCCGGCCTTTCCTAAGTTTGCCGCTTCACCCAGCAACTTTAGGCAATGCAGGGAAAAAAATTTTTATTTTACCTAAAACATTTAAATTAACAATCTAGTTTTACATTTTATCTCATAATAGGTCAGCAAATGTAAATATTTGTTGGAGCTAATAATGAAAGTATAGTAAATATTAAATCGGTAGAAGAAAACACTTGGTGCCGTATATTTTTGGAAAGAGTTTTTCTTGGTCTGCTCTTAGGCAGTTTAGTGGAATATAGTTAATAGGTAGAATAGCTCTTACCAGCTTAGAGGTCCAAAAAAAAAATCTGCTAAATATATGTTACTAGTTGCTGAAATTCCTCCTTAAAACATTGTCCTATAGGTCTCTCTAAATTACGGATCCTCTGAGAGGAAAAGGTAGATAGCATATTAAACCCAATGAAGTATGTGGAAATCACAACACTCTGTATAAAATAATGAAGTATGTAGCTTCAAGTTTTGCATCTCAAAAAAATACTTACAGATTTTTAGAGTATTTTTTTCTAATGAATTAGACACTGTCATTTGTCTTTATAGGTATAGATACTTCCATCTTGACCAGGAATAGTCTGTTAAATGGTAATTTTGGGAGCAATGAATTCAGAGTAATCCATATTCTAAGGCTTAGTTGATCTTTCTTCTAGAAGAAGAGTTACCTGGGAGCACTAGTGTCAGAAGGCAACAGAGGCATACAAGTGGGGGAGGAAGGACCAGGAGAAAAAGCACCCGGGCCGGTGGGGGGGGGGGGGGCGTGCTAGAGAAGAAAGGACTCCGATTAATTTCTCCTGTCCCATTTCTGTTGTGCTGAGTCAGTGGGAGGCACACTTTTATCAAATTCATATTCATCATTTTGAACACTCAGAAGGAAAAGTGCTCTACTTACCTCTATTCTGTCACTTTTCTTTAGGATATTTTAAACTCATCCTTGTTTTGACAGCTCCTTCTTTAGGAAACAAACACATCATACAAGAATTCTTGAGAAAGATGATAATGGAATGCTCAAATCTTTGTCACAATCAGAGCTTAAATTATTACATCTACCAGCTAGTGAAATCACTAACCCTGTACCCTATCACAATATCAGTGTCCTTAACTCATTATTTTAACATAGTAGTATTCCATATTTCATTGTAACAGAAGTTGTACACAAAATGAAATATTCTGCTACCCATCCTACTCACCAGTTTGTTTTTTGATTTTCTTTATAAGCATATTTGTGTATACCTTGTAATATTTTTCAGTTTTCTTCTTCTGAATATTTTGGGTAAAGTGAACTTAGAGTTGTATCTTCTATAATGTTTATCATTTGGTTTCAGAAGACAGAATAATACATCAATATTATCCAAAAGTAAACATTGTTAATTTTTTATTTTTAAAATTTGTATTCTCTAGTTTTATTGAGGTACATTTTTTTTGTTACTCTCTGTATCAGTATATTAAAATCTTTTTTAACCTAATTGTCTCTAGCTTCAAATATATTTTTTAACAGGTACAAAAATTGGAACATTATAGTATTTTCTGTTAATTACTGGTAATAGTAATTAATTTTCAAATGACATTTCTCTTTTCCTAGGATTAGATTTTCCCCAACTCATTCATTTTAATCTTTAAACTTCAGGACTATAAACAGTGCAATAATACCTTAATATTGTCTCGAAATACACCTAACAAGTTCACTGCTTCTTTTCAGACTGGGAAGAAGAGCAGGTCAGCAGTCCAAATATTCTACGACTTATTTATCAAGGACGATTTCTGCATGGAAATGTCACATTAGGAGGTAATAGTCACCTTTGTAATGGGATTTAGTGTCTGTCTCATGGCAGTGGCATTCATTTGTTTGTTTCAGGGCAATTGGCTGATTTTACAAAAAAAATCATTTCCAACTCATGAATTCTGCCTATTTTGGTAACTCTACTTCTTTACATTTTGCATTCTGTTGAATTTCATTTTAGCACTGTGAGAAGTGTTTACTCCTTTATCAAATAAACTCTCTCATTAGATGTAGGAATCCATACCTATTATTTTGTAATTTTATTGTACTTCTGGATAATATATGTTAGATGTAATAGTTTTAAGTTAAAGCCAGACACACAGAGTAGGCAAAGTTTATGACAACGGGTTTTCAGTCTGACTCTGTTATAATTGCCCATCTAGCAGAAACGAAGGTAAAAGAGTTTCACTAGAGAGACCTTGTAGTGTGAGAATTCAAAGAGCAGATTTAGATCCTGGTTACCGGAGTTGTGCCTTGGCTCCGCTGCTTCCTGCTGTGGAATCTTGGGGAAGATACCTAGCTTTCTTCATTGATAAAATGGGCTAACAATAGTGTCTACCTCTTAGGGTTAAATTATATATTCAAAGCACTTAAAACAGTACTTGGCACACAGTGAACGCTTCTTTGGTATCACTGCTCTTTATATGTGATTGGAGAAATATAGCTCAATAGTGCCCCCTTATGGGGTACATTCTCTACCATCAGCAGGTTTATTTTGTTTTTAGTTCCTGTATTTCAAATATACCCTGATAATTAGAAATTTGTAGGTAAATGAAGTGATCCACTTCAATATTTTTGTGTAAATATAGTCTGTCTGACTTTTTTTCTCTAAACCTATCAATGAAATTGATCAATATAGGTGGGTGTTTGGTAAAGGTTGAATAACATCCAGTTATGTGGTTTTTTTGGTTTTTTTTTTTGTTTTTTTTTAAGAGGGAGAGAGAGCAAGCACAGGCAGACAGAATGGTAGGCAGAGACAGAGGGAGAAGCAGGCTCCCCGCCAAGCAAGGAGCCTGATGTGGGACTCGATCCCAGGATGCTGGGATCATGAACTGAGCCGAAGGCAGCTGCTTAACCAACTGAGCCACCCAGGCGTCCCTATGTGGTTTTTTTTGGTCACAATTTTTCTTTTTAGTTTCCCTGTGATCTTGAATGTGAATAATAAAGGAGAGAGTACACAGGGTCATGGTAATTATCTTCAAATACTGGAATGGCTAGTGGAAGAGTAGGCTAGCTTTCTATGGCTTGAGACTTGCTCTGTATAACCTTGAATTAGACTTAAGACCAACAGCTGGGGATCAAAAGCAGACAGATACTATTCACTACAAAATAGAATTATTTGAGCATGTCAAGCTGCCTCAAAAAAGAATAGACCACTAAGGGAAAAGAGTGAAATCCTTGTTACTGGTTACATATAAGCAGTAGGTACAGCCATGGTTGGGGTTCAATCATTTTGTGGATGGTTAAACCAGGAGACCTGGGCATTCTTTGCCACTCTTGGGATTTTATGGTTCCAGTAAGTTTCAGGTTTAATTTCTTTGTTACCAGGTTTCTTAAAACATAGCCCTGAATCCCCTTTTTTGAGATACAACTTTTTAGTTCCATAGAATTTCAGTCTACTAAAGAAAAGGTGTGATAACAGTCTTACTAAGGATAAAGAAGATCAGCTACAAGTTTGACACTCAATACATTGCTGTTCATTCTTTCTCAAAATGTGATGGGGACTGTGGCATTCAGTCAGGAATCAACTGGGATACTTCGTAATGCAGATTTCTACATGCTGGCTAGTTGGAGGAGAGCTCTCTCTGTCTCTGCCCCTTTCTTGTCCCCTCCCCTTCCCCCTTTCTTGTCCCCTCCCCTTTCCCCCATCGCCCAGTGTACTGCTGAATTGAAATCCTGGGTGATTTTTATGTGAGGTTGAAAACTCCTGTTCTGGGAGCAGCTTAGTGGCTCAGTCGGTTAAGCCTCTGCCTTCTGTTCAGGTCATGATCCCAGGGTCCTGGGAGTCTGCTTCTCCCCTTCTCCCTCTGCCTCTCCCCTGCAAATCGTACTCTCTCTTGCTGTTTCTCTCTCAAATGAATAAATAAAATATTTAAAAGAAAAAAATCCTATTCTAGATATTATACAGAGTCATAGTAGAAGCAGAAGCATCCACAGTGAAGGAAAGAGAAAACCTTTTAAATTCTTCCTTTCCCTTCTTTGAAACCGTTATCATCCATATCCACTAATTCCAGTTAAAATTCAAATGGAAAGGAAAAATAATAATCCCCATCAATCAAATCTGTAGCTTCAAATGGTAAGCCACTCAGCAGCTTCCCAGGCCTGTCCACACTTCTCTAAATGTACCTCTCCTTTCACTTACCTGTTTTCTGAGATCTGTCTTCCTTGCTTTCTCAAAATGAAGATGACGATGAGGGTAATATTTACTGCGTGCTTTCTTTGTCCAAAGCCCTGAACTACGCGGTTAGTCAATACAGTTAGTCCATACAGCTGTAAAGGACAGGTGATAGAATTACTGTCTCTATTTGGGTAGAGGAAACTGAGGCCAGGGGAGCAGGTAGATGACTCGCTCATGACTCGTCTCACATTGGCAAGTAGTGGAGATGTGATTTTGAACCCAGATCCGGCTTACTAGAGTCCAGGAGATGATAGGAGACTAATATGCAACTTGAAGTTCAGTCTTTCCCAGTACATTTGATGAAAAATTTTATAATCCAAAGCTCTATTATTTGCATTTTAATGTTAAATCATCCCTAGGGGATGATCCAAAAAAGGACCTCCTCTTATTTCATCAAAGTGTGTATTTATGGGCCATCATACTTCATTTGAGCTTGAGAACTTAAGAGAATAGACCAAATAAATAAGTGAGCTAGAAACTCACCTTGATTATGAGTAATACTGAAGATACATAGGAGCCTTTTTCAATCTACATGTTAGCCACCATCCTATGGAGCAAGAGTTAAGAAGCAGGTAGCAGGAGGATCGTACTTGCTAAGTGATAATGGATGTCAGAACTAAATCATCTCAACTATGGAAATAACTTTAAAAGTTAGATATACTGGCTGCTTCTAATTTTACACACAGAATAACAAAGCGATTCACCATGAAACTTAACATCTGTATTTGCTTAAGTGGTTCGTGGATACATGGTGTGTGTTATATCATTCTATGTCTGAAGCATTTCATAATAAATTTTCTTATTATGAATGAAAAAACCTTTTAAGTTAAGACTTGATTAGAAAACAGCGATTATTAATAATGCCAAGATAGTGGTTCTCTTAAAGTAACCGTTTAAAGAAAATTATTTTCTCATTGAAAAATATAGGGTTGAGAATAAATATTTAAAATTGAGTTTGTTGTTTGTTCTATTTCTACATTATAGTGGCCTGTTCAGTGCAGTAATTTTATTAGGTGCTACATATTAGACAGATAATTAGACTCAGCAGCAGATGTCTCTTAATCTAAACTTTTCCCTAATTTAGAAAAGGTATTCTCAGAAACTTTTTTTAGCTCCTTTTCTCCTCTGAAGGTTATCTCCAATATTAATTAATGACGTATTTTCTCTCGTCCCCTTCCTTCAACAGTATGATTATTGGTGTCAAACTAAGGGCCATAGCTGGGCAGAATAATTTCTGAATTGTTTCTGATAATATTAACCCACTTTCATTTTCTAAGAGATGCTCTAACTGGTAAGTGCAGTCTGCTGAGGGCGTCCTGCAAAGAGCGATCAGTTCTTTAAATGGTTTCAGTTCTGATTAGTGATTTCAGTAGGTCAGTATATATGTAACAACTATCTTCTGCTTTTCCCATAGCATTAAAACTTCCTTTTGGCAAAACAACGGTGATGCATTTGGTGGCCAGAGAGACGTTGCCAGAGCCCAACTCTCAAGGTAATCCTCACACTGCAGAGGCTTCTCGCTCAAGCCGCCGAGACAGGCACTCAAAAATGGTTGTGTTTTTGGACCTTCTGAGGGAAAGGAAGTTTTCATTGTTTATGATCAGAGCTTGTTAAGCAAATAACCAGACATCCTGGAAACAGGCTATAATTAAAACAGCTATAATTATCATTATAGCTTTTTAATTAAAAAAAAAATTGCAAACATTAAAAAAAATTCTTACTATGTTTGGATGCCCCCCCCCCCCCAATTTGAACATTTTTATAAACCAGGCTTTTCTGCATTTTCTCCAGGTCAGAGGAATCGTGAAAAGACTGGAGAGAGTAATTGTTGTGTAATCCTGTAAACACTGTCCGCTACGTGTGCTGTGATGTAGTCTTTGTCTTTCATGCTGCTGGGACGGAAGAGACCCAACATTGCTTCAGAATCCCTTAGGAAGAGTCTGCCTGTAAACCCATGGAACTGAATGATCTCATGAACACTGTCATCTTCTCGCATCAGAGTAAAAAGAACCAAGAACATTTTTCACTACGATTTTTTATTTCTAGTATCTTTGTTTATGTTGAGCAGTTTTAAAATATGTTGGTTTGTGAATGCTGTCAATCTCCGGGGGCAGAGTTAACAAGTTATCTTTCCTAGCAGAAGCCATTTTGCTGCCACAGAAACGTTCACACCAGAACTAACAAATCAATATAGTTTGCACTAACAAAGATTGACATTATTTTCTTCATCAGCAGAATTTGCAACATGGTTTATAGCACCTAGAAATGCTCAGAAATACAATATTCCACACTGGAAAACATTCAGCAATTAATGGAGTTAATTAGTGGGCCAACTGGAGAGGGAGAAATGGAAGAGAAACTGAAATGTCGGGGGCGTTCTCTCAGAGTCAGCCCCGGTGGCCGCACTGGCACAGAACACACAACTGAGTGTGACCGTTTTCATCGCAACACATGGAAAAACAAAATGTGCCTGCTGTTTAAAGTACTCAGCGGAGAGCTGATGAAACAAATTGCTTTTCCTTTCACACACGCACTCCTCAGTCACGCGGTCACTGAGTGCTTGTCCGCACAGCACAAAAGGGGTGCGAGTGCGCTTCCTAGCCTTAACGTGGGAGGGTCAGTTCCATACTCGTAGACTTGCATTGCCGCGCAGAGATAATAGAAAACCTCATTTACTCATCAGTTTAATGTATTTGAAGATCAGCAAATTGAATTTTTCCATAACTATTGCTCGTCTGTAACTGTGTCCAGTGTCACACTCACTCATTAGAGTTCAAATGAATTCTTAAAATTAAAATAGTTCTCCATAGTAACTAATTTTATTTCTTTATGTAGTTTGCATTTGGTATTAGTGCTTGCAATTGTATTAAAATCAAAAGCTGACTTTTAAGGCATACTACATGATTAAGGATGCCATTCTTTTGTTTTGTACCAATAATTTAAAAATTGATATGCTAAACCAATTTGCACAGCACTAAAGCATGAGCTAGTTTCATCTAAATCTGTAAAAATATAAAAGATTTTATATTTTTTCACTGGGAAGAAATTCTTCCTGGATGAAATTACAAATATGTGTAGAATATATTTAATAAAAAACTTATAAAATACCTAACTATAGAACTTAAATATAGATTGGCGTGTAGTATATAGAACAATATTCCATATAAATAACTTTAGCCTTTATAAAAATGAAGTTGCAGGCTGACATTATGTTCTGTACTTAAGTAAGTGTCCATGGCCCTTAAAAACATTCAGTGTAAATGGTTTCAAAAGGTCAGCTTTGTCTAAAGGTAATCAGGTTATTTTGTTCATTGTCAATGCTTTGATGAAAAGGCTTTAGATGCAGTAGATCTACAAAAATATTGTTCATACTGATCAGAATTAAATTTGTATAGAGCAGAGTTTTAAAACGAATGTAAATAGCACTAAACATTTTCTTTCTGCAACCTGTACTTAGAGATTCTTTCTGTAAACTAAAAAAAAAAAAAAAAAATATCGTAGTGCATTTCAGTGCTAATTTTAAAGGTCTTGGTTAAGTCAATTATTGTTTAAACACCGTCTCATCCATGTTAAAATTTGTTTTCTACTTTTGTTTCTGAATCTTTAAGAAATTTGTTTAATATTCTCTTGTTAGTTTCAGGAGTATTCACAGTGTATCTTTGATATTTAACCTGGTTAATTTACACACAGAGCAACAGTGGATAGCATTATGCAGTCTCTGTTATCACTAAAATGTTGTATTCAGATGTTAAATATTTATATGCTTTGTTGACTAGCTCAAATGTGAATTCCGTTAGTGTTGACTAAAGAGGAAACTGATAGTTACTTAATTGGGCAATTAAGCCATTTATGGCTCTATTCTTCTTTTGTAAAACAAACTACTGGTAATTATTTTTAATACCTATTTTAATTCTAATTACTCTTCTATCTTTCCAAAGTTAAAGACTTACTATTATTCAATTCTGATTGAATTTTTATGATGGTTTAAAAATAATTATCTTTTGGTTTTCAATATATTTTCCAGTGTGTTCTCATGTTATAAATTTCCCTTTTACAAGACCTCAATTTAAAGTTTGCAAAATGGATAAACCAGTTCATTAGTAGAGAAGGAATTATGTCACTTAATTCCTGATAACATTAACATTGTTGTGCAAAATGGAGAACAAAATAAAATAGCAGTAAAATTATATACTGAAAACACCAAAAATTTAGATGCCTTAATAGTATATCCATGAAAATACTCAACTATCCCTTTGAAAATAGTTCCTTGGACTGCCTGAGGTTAAAATATGATTAATCATATCCAAGGCTACTATTTGAAGATCCCTCTGCCAAAAATAACAGCTCACTTACCGAGAGGTAAAGGCTGCATAGATCCGTAATGTAAATAAAGCCTGAATTATTGGCCTGTGACCCTGCCCAGCGCTTGGTATCTAACTCACCTCTTTTACCTAAATTATCCTAGACTTTGTTAAGTGTTCTGGACAAGGCAAAGCTTTTCTTCTTTATTAAAACCTCAGCATGTCTCCTTGATCTGAATTATTTGCTTTCTGTTCAAGATAGGTTATATCTTATCCTATCATGAAAAATAGAGTATCTAACATCGTCAGTCACATTAAATGAGGTTTTCTCATAACAAACATTTATCCTTAGTTTTATGTCATCTTGACCAATGTTGCAGTAATTTCTGTTAGCTGATTGTGGTAAACAATGTTTAATGTGAAAACAAATTAAAACTTTCTTCATCTGTTGTAGAATATTTTCTTCTTTTAAATGACTTCTGTTTGCAATTTTGGTGTATTTCCCTGTTCTTTGTTTCTATTGCTTTTCTCTTCAATGTATTTTTATTACATTCTCTAGTAAAATCACCCTGCACCAGCCTTTATTCTTTCATTTTAACCAAAATCAAAAAGAAATGATCAATCAGAATTTAGCATGCCTTCACACCATCCTTATTGGTCATTGTCACGGGCATGTCTTCAGTTTTTTTCCATTACCATTTTGTAATACAGTCGCTTGTTAGCTGAACAGCAAACAGGTAGGAGGAGGGCTTGAGAGAAGAGTATATAACCTAGAATCATGCCTGAAACAACTGTAGGCAGCTGGCTGCTCAGTATGGTCTCCCTGGCCCAGGGGCAGTGGGCTTCTTGGCCAGGGCAACAGGTGACCACTGTGCCTGCTCCCCCAGCCTCCTGGTGCACTTTCTTCCCAAGACTGTAACACACATGAAGCTCTTTGAGGGACTTGGTGGGAGAGGCATGTCTTCTGGAAGAGTTCACCAGCAAAATTAATGAGAAACATACAATCCTTGGAGAGTCGAGTTTAAACCAGCACTAGAATATGAAAACCTTTCACTTACCATTTGGTGGTCTTTGACCATTCTGTCAAATGTTCATCCTTTAATATTATTTTGTGTGTTCTGCCTCTTTTTCAAAATCACAACTTTCAATATAACACCTGGGTGGTTCAGTTGGTTAAGCATCTGTCTTCGGTTCGGGTCATGATCCCAGGGTTCTGGGATCAAGGTCCGCGTCAGGCTCTTGGCACAGTGGGGAGCCTGCTTCTCCGTCTCCCTCCGCCTGCTGCTTCCCCTGCTTGTGCTTTCTCTCTCTCTCAAATAAAGAAATAAAATAATCAAAAAAAAAAAAAAAAAGGAGTGCTTCAACATACTCCCCTCTTGCACACTAGCCGGGTTCTGATGTTTTTACACTGTTTGCCCCACCCCTTCATGTGGCCCAGCGAAGTGTGCCCTTCTCCCATCACCAGGGCTTAAAAAAGCCCATTCCCTTTGGTGCGGTGGGTTCAGGAGTGGGCATGGGACCAATCCTGGCAAATGAAACTTGAAGGGAACTCTGCTGATGGTTTCTGGAGAAAGTTCTCACACCCAAGGCGGCCTTCCAAGAGACTTGCCTCTGGACATGATTCTGTTTGGATGACCTGACTGAAGCCACTGTGGTCTGGGGGCAAAGCCAGTACCCTGAAGTTGCAGAGCAGAGGGAGAGAAAAACACCTGGTCCCTGAGGACATGGCAGAGCTGCGGGGTTTGCCCACTGTGGAGCCCAAGGCTGTCTCATAAATTTCTTAGGGTTTTTCCCCACTTCCACTCAAAGACATTCCTAGTGATACATAGGAATTCTAGACAGCAACATATACTCCAACTTTATGAAATTAGCTTGCAAAAGGAGAAAAAAAATTAATGATTCTGTGTTCACATCTCTCAAAAGTAAATCTCTGACTAGATAGTTGCCAATTATCCCGAAGGTGAAGGAAAACAGAATTCTTAAGACACCATCATGGCCACAGTCCAGCTCCACAATCATATTTTTTTAAACGGCACAAGCAGAAAATGAGAGTTTGGACATACAGATCAAAGATGGAGATAGTAAGTGTCAAACACCCCTGTGCATTGTGTCAGAAAGGCCTGGAATGAACTGGAGTTGACCGAAAATAATGAAAAGTACATGTTCACTGTGCTTGAAAGAAGAACAAAGCAGGTATACAACACTGCTTGTCACTGGCTTGCCTTAGAATCATTGAGGGAATTTTCATTATTATTATTATATAATATCAGCAATATTTTAAAAAGTGTATATATATGTATATACATATATATACACATATGTATATGTATATATATGTATATATACACTTTTTTTTAAAAAAATATTGCTGTCTAGGCTTCTCACATTAGCCAAATTAAATCTGCCTACTTGTGGCTTGGAGCTGTCGCCTGAATTTCTGCCGATGACCAAAAACAGAACCACTTCAATACCAGGAATACGAGGGAACACAGCGGAGGGGTGGGAGTCAGTACATTTCAAGTGGGACTGGAAACCCAGTGAGATGGTGGACACAGGAAGCAGGGGCCAGCTACCATGGGCTAAGCCCCCAGACCCAGACCACTAGCATTTCCCAATTCTAAGGGAACATGGGCGAAGGCCGATCCTGTTCTGTTGTCAGGAGCAGAGGGGATGCCCCAGACCCCCTGCACTCCTGATGGCCTTGGCACATGCTGGGACCACAAGAAGGCCCAGACAGCCCGCTCAGTATCCTCACCGCGATCCCCAACCCCCATGTGCCTAGAATGCTGCTTTGTGTTCCCCACTTCCTCTCTTCATTCCAGAAACCCTGTCACCTGGCCCTGCGGAATCCAGAATCCAGCAAAAGTCTGCCATATTGCCGCAACCTGGAAGTTCTTGTTCATCTTCGAACCCTCCCTTGAGGGTAGGGTACTAGCCCTCGCCTGTAGTCCTAGAAGTACTGTGCTTTCAAAAGTGGCCATTGACTGAGTGCTTGCTTGGTGACAAGCACCACTCTATGCTCCTGACCCGGGCTCATGCAACAGGTGGCAAAACAGGCCCAGAGAAGTATAGTTTGTTTTTTGAACATCAAGGTTCAGTTTCCCGGGCAGAGACTGTTCCTGGAAGTATTCTTTGTTGTTCTCTTTTGTTTCTAAAATTAAACTTTGCCCATTGTAGATCATCTCATAACTACAGATGAGTATGAGGAGAAAGAAACTAACTCCATCATACAGAACCAATTACTAATATCTTGGTGAATTTCTTTTAGTCCTCTTTATTAATATGTACACATTAAAATAAAAACAACAGACACCATATAACAGATACCATATACCGAGTTTATATACTATTTTTCTTCTTTGACATAAGTATATCCCCAGAATATTAAATCTCCTTTGAAAACATATTTGTTGATAGCTATACTCCATTTATAGGCATATCATTTTCATGTATGCATTTAATAAATGTATACTGTTAAAATTACATTGGAATAACACTACACCCTTACCAGAATGGCTAAGGTTAAAAGGAATGACCATATCAAGAGTTGGCAAGGATTTTAAGCAATGCTCATATATTCTTGGTGAGAATGTAATTTAGAACAACTGTTATACAAAACTATTCTGTGGTATCTACCAAAGCTAAAAATATGTATATCTTGTGACCTAAAAATTTATCCTACATGAATACCCAACAGAAAAGAACGTGTTTGTCCATAAAATACATGTACAAGGAACTTTATAGCCACTTTATACATAAACAAGAAGCAACCCAAGTGTCCATCCACAGTAGAATGAATTTTTAAATTATGGAATATTCATACAATGAAATATTGTTAAGCAGCATAAAACAACAAACCACTGCTCCACTATGTGCAACATTATTAAAGGAAGAAGCCAGACATGAAAGAATACACGCTGTATGAGCTCATTTAGGGGACTCTAGGTGGCTCAGTTGGTTGGGCGGCTGCCTTCAGCTCAGGTCATGATCCTGAAATCCTGGGATCGAGTCCTGCATCGGGCTCCCAGCTCGTGGGGAGTCTGCTTCTCCCTCTAACCTTCTCCCCTCCTATACTCTCTCTCACTCTCTCTCTCTCAAATAAATAAATAAAATCTTAAAAAAGAAAAAAACAGAAATATTGAACATGTACTGGAAACACTCACCCCAGGAAA